CCCCCTCCAAAATAATACTTCGGACGGGTGCAGCGCAAACGGGAAAACCGGAGAAGTAACAACCGGGAAAAGCTCAATCGCGAATTACGACCGAAGCCAAATACAACCATAAGCTTGAACGTCATGGGATTCCCGCAAAAATTCTGTTACCTGTCTAGCGTTAAGAGAATCGAAAAATCGCGAAACTATGAACTGAATGAATTAGCTTTTCGGGAAGAGGGTGCTTTTTCAGGTTTCTCTAGGCTTAGGCGAAAATCTTTGCCTTCTAGCGCACAATAGCTTCTTTGTACCTTCGAGCACTAAATGCTGTTCAAAATAAAAACAAGAGGGGTGGAAATGAAGCTCCAATCGTTTAAAAGTTTCACAACAGTCATAGGTATCAACAAAATGGCTAAGGTATCAGCAAAGTGGCTAACACGTTGACAGGAATCAACAAAAAGAAATCGGTAAAGGAAAGCCCCCCTCCGCCGAATTGTACCGCAGCACTTGGGAGAACAACGCAGGGGAACCTAACCGTCTAGAAAACTCCGAGAGGGCCCACCGACGAGGACCAGTGCTTTTTGCAAATTCTTAGGAACACGTGCAAAACGGAAGCTGAGCTATCCCTTTCTCCTTTAGACCCCCTTCACATTTCTCATTCGAACAATATTTCAACATAGTCAATTAATTTTCATTTCCAACCATTTTCTTTACTTAACAGTCACAGAAGGAAATCAATATTTTGGTGCTAACCTAAATGCGGAGGGACATCCACCAACATTTCCCCTGACTATTTCCCTTTTCTATCACGGTATCCTTATCATTAAAACACAGCTATAACAATATAAACGAGAGCGTCAAGTCGGAGGGGGGAGGAGGGGAGTCGACAAATCGGCAGTCCCAACAAGAGCACGATCAGCGTTGATTCCAATTAGGAACTCAAATTTCGCGCCGAACTCGTGAAGGCGCGAACGGTGGCTTCTTTGAACTCGGCCAAATCCCTTCCATGGAGCAGCGTTTCACCGTCCCAAGTTTTATTTTCATGTTGCTTTAAATTTTCCTGTTGGTACTTACTATTCTGAACATTTGTTTTCTTATCGTCTAGTTATGTTTTTTTAGTGCATTAAGTTTAGGTCGTAGTTCCACCAAAACAATATTCCCTCGAATCGGTATTGCCTCTTAAGCAATGCTTTGATTTATCTCCATACAGCGTTTCCGTACTTTGGTCGTGTTTTTAAAGTTTGTCTCTTGAAAGATGTACATTAAACGACTCGAAATCGATGGCTTCAAGTCCTACTCGAAATTGCAAGTGATTGATGGATTTGATACTCAATTCAACGCTATAACTGGTGAGTCATTTCAAAATTGTGCTACGGAAGGGTTGTCATGATTGACAAGGCCTCCAAACCTATGTTTCTTACTACAGTTATTAATTACGGTCAGATCAGCTATTTGTGAAGACCACACAAGAAAACATCTAGGTGAATTCATAGTACATTGCGTTAGGCGGGGGGTAAGTACTTTAATACTGTACTCATTTAAGGCTTCATCACTGTCTACCTCCACCACGCTCTTTGCTGAAATTTCGGTGGAACAGGAATGGGGTATCCGAGCAACTCACTATCAACAAATGGGGCGCTGCTGAGCTTGCCAGGGGAATTTTGCACTTTCGCTAGCTCTTCATTTTTCCATGCTTAACTTAGCAGCGTCGCCATTCCGTTGATTTCCTGTAAACCATGCGAAACAGCTATGGTACAAATGAGCCCTTTGGTTGCCAAAGTTACAGGGTCTTACAGGTGGTCTGCACAGGCTGTGCTGAGAACCATCGGGTGCCCACACCAAGCCGAACTGCGCCAAAGTGAGACCATCACCGGATGGTAAGACGATCCGATTAGCAATGGAAACGCACAGAAATCTTCTTGTCTCCAGATCCCAAACCACACCTATTTCCGTGTGTGCCGACACAGCGTAAGCACGAATTCTTGCTCACTGGCGACCATATCACCCTTCCTTCATCGTGGAATTTCCAACGCCTTGGGGCGACTAACTTGCCAGTTCTTTAGTATAGGTTTTTCGTTCGATTAGCTGTCGCTCTCTCGTATTATTTGTGCATGGGCTTGATCTCATCTTTATAAACTGTACCGCATTCTACCAGGGAAGCGGAAGATCCCTGACACAGAGAATGGGGGAGATAAGCAAGTTACTGTAGAAATTGAGCCACTCACACCTTGGAGAACGTTCGAATTACCAGTTGTAATTTCCTGCATACATTACATCCGCAGCTCAACTAGCGCAAAGTGATTTTTCGAGTGAAGTGACCGCTGCTTCCATACCTTGTGAGTTCATCTCAGAATGTAGGGGTACTATAGCGCTGGTTCTATCGTGAGGAAGTCAGGCGAGTGAAAATCTCAACAGCAGTTTCAGAGTGAGGGCTTTCGTTGAGATATTCTTACCGAAAACGTCGGCTTCCCTCATTCTTTAACCCGATCTGGGCCTAGCACTTGTTTCGTCCGTTTTAAGAGTTGAACCAACATCTTGAAGGTTTTCTGACTCTTTGACTCTTCTATGGCTGAGTTTTGAGCATTGGGAAAGTTGGGGAATCCGTGGAGCATCAGGAGCTTTTTTCGGACGAGTTTCTTCATCAACTTTGATGTTTCCAGAATAAGTCTCTTTTTTGGAAGGAAAAACATTTGCGACACTACTTTTTCTTATTTCTGTTCCCCTCTAATTATATTTCCTGACTGCCCTTCAAAACTATATTTTCTGACTGCTTTTGTAGGTTTAAATGGTACGGGAAAGTCGAATATTCTGGATTCGATTTGCTTCGTGCTAGGAATAACGAATCTTACTCATATCAGAGCAGGTTTGTTTTATTTTGTGAATTTCTCTATGCTTTTGCCGTATCTTCGATAGCGTTATTTGGAGTTGATGATTCAGGAACCCCATCAAAGGCCGGAGGTGTTTCACGAAATGTAAAATTTTCAGGTCAGCTTCATGACTTGGTCTACAAACAAGGCCAGGCGGGTATCACCAAGGCAACTGTAACGATAACATTTGATAACAAAGACAAGAAACATGGACCAATAGGGTATCATCACTGTGATGAGATAGTTATTCGTCGACAGGTATATCTTGGTTTTCTTATTGCTGGTTTTTTCTTGAAAATCAACTTGTTTTCTTTCCAGATTATTGTTAACGGACGTAACTCATATACTATTAATGGAAGCACTGCAACAAATGCGAAGGTATTTCGCTAGACTTTTGAGGATATCAGGCGCTATTTTCTAAGCACACCTCTGTATGGGGCCTCCACAGGAATTAGTCGGGTTTTAATGTTGAGTAGAAAGTGTTTTGAACCCGATTAGAAGATCAAAATGAGCGAAAAGTGCATCGCGTTCGTCCTCCCGAGCGTTTTCCACCACCTTGGAAGGAAACGGGCCTAATGCCCCACAAAGGTTCCTTGCATACACGGAGGTTCGGGGAGGTTCCTAAAAGTGTCTCTGGTTTTTGACGACTCTGAAGATACTGGATTGAGACCAGTGTTGGGTTCAAATGGCTAGGGTGTCCACTTATCCGGAAGTGCGAAATAAGTTGCCTGGGCTTTGTGATAGAAGCGGTTTCATTTGCTT